TGTTGAGGCATGAATTGTCTATTGTGAGTGAGAAGGGAATGTAGTATAGTCACTGTTCTCTCTTCAGCCTTTCTAGAACTGGCCTTTATTTACAGTGTTGTTTGTACTTGTGACCAAAATTGTTTCTTCACTTGAGAGAGCTGAGAATTGTATGATTCTGCATTTTCAAACTATAGTTCTTTTGCATCCGTTTTTATTTTTTGCAGAGTAGTAAATTTTCTCTCTTGTTTTTGATGTTAGGAAATGCAATAAAAACGCATTTGGCCTTGAACAGGTCACTCAGCTGTAGTTTAGCTTGCTTAGAATTTTAAAAAGAGCCCCAGTAAAGCTTCTTTTCCAGGTTTATTCTTATCATTAAGAAAAACTAAATATAGGGCAATGTTTATTTTACTGGTTTCAAACCACAAATTAAGAGTTCAATACTAAGTTAGATTCAAACGTAAGTATTGAAAGCAGTATAACTATTGAAAAGAGATTTTAGCCTATTGGTAAACTTCTGTAACTAATGTCTAATATAATTTGAAATTGCAGCTTGTGGTTGCATGTCAGTTGTGGCATTCTCCAGACTTTAAAGAAATCACTTCTAATTTGGGGATTTAATTTCATATTTGTCCCCTGAAACATGTTTTTCAGACTTTAAGCCTTTACCTTTCAAGTTAAGACACTAAGTGCCTGTGAAATGGCAAAAAGCTTTTAATGAAATGATTAATTCATTGTAACAGCTGTAGGGTTGGGGTTTTTTTGAGAGAAGACACTGACTATGTCCTAAGTGATTGGCTTTTTTTTCATGTGCTCTTGTTCTCCTTCCTCTTGTCAGAGATTTCTATTACAATATACTAGTATTTGTGGAAAAACATGATTTTGTGGGACTCAATCCCTCCTTTCCTCCTGTCTCCCTAGTTTTTCTTAGCATTCATCCCCTTGTCTTATCTTCCCTTTCCCTTCAGAAAAATGATTGCACGCTATGTTGCAAAACTAACATTTCATGCAGCAGAATTTGCCACTATTTGAGAAGACATACAGAAACCTTACTACTATTTCTTTTTTTTTGGCTGTTGTGCATTTACACTCTTTGTATAAGATAATCAACTTGCAGTCTGATCCCAGTTCATAGGTGATCTAGAGATGCAAAATCATCTTCTGCTTCTTCTCTTCTATCCCATTAAATGTCAAAGCTCTTAATTGTTTTCTGCAAGTATCCTGCTAAGACTTCTACATTCTGTATCTGAGAGCAAGAAGCAATTGCTTTCTCTCAAGCAGCATTAGTAAGAGCTGAGCACAGCAGCTGTGACATCTGCTTCTGAGTGCAGTATGTCACAAATTTATCAGTTTCAATTCATTTTGATTTGCCCATTGCAATGTCAAGATTCTGTTTTTAGCAGATTGAGTGGTAGTACTTGTCACTTCCAAGTTGTAGTCAGACAGAAAAGAGATGGTTTTCTTTGGGTAGCATTTTAATTTTAGAAAATAGAATGCATTTTCTTTTTGCTGGTAACTGTACTGGAGAATGTGTTTTAATTGATGGATTTGATTTCCAGTGCCTGTCAAGATACTTTCTTTGTACATTTAAACTCTTGTATTGTACCTCTTGCGGCAGTGTATTGTATGGCCTTTCAGCTTTCAGTGGAGTTGTGTAAGGGGTTTAACCTGTATGTAAGTAATAATGAAGTCTTCCCAGCACAGATTTAACTTGAGAAAGATCATTAGATCCTTCACTAATTTCGTTATGCATTGTTTTCCAAAACATAATTTGAAATACTGCCTGTTAGTAACTTCAGTTTCTGTTACGAATTTTGTCCCTGTTATTATAAGTTACTACTGTATATTTGTCAGGTATAGTATATTATTCTCTTGCCATTATTTTTCAAAATCTAGAAACTTTTCTGTAATTTTTTTATGCTTGTAGGAAGCATTACGACTTCAACAAGATGTGAGAAAAAAGAAGCAAGAAATCTTAGAGAAGCACATTGAAACACAAAAGGTAAAATGTTAACATTAAAGAAAGTTGGCAATTCATTTCTAAAATCTCAGTTCAGTTCTTTAAAGTATTTCAGAATTTGTAAGCATGATCTACAAAACTGACCTGTAAAGTAAGTATTCTCCTAGAATGCTATTGTCACATTATTTTAAGTTTAGAGTTTTAATCTAGATTGTCTTGTTAGTTCACTTAAACTACTAGCTTATGCAATGTAGATGCAATTTTAGTTGAAATTGCCTAATTTGGGTGCAACATGCATATGTTTCTTTGGCAGTAGTGAAAGCCTGAGAGTTCTACTTGACAAAAGCTGGAGAGATTGATGTAGAAAAGTATGCATGACTGCACTCAGGCTTAGGAGGAGAAAAAGGCAAAGGTGTCACACAAGTTCCATAACAACTTTGAAATAACTTAAGTGTGTTGAGCAAATCTGTCCATATGGAATGGAGATATCAGATGTTCATTAACAAATGAATTAATCACAGATTCAGACAGATTTTAGTTTAATATAAGCTGTTAAAAGCCCTATATGTTGAGTTTGAAGATCACAGCAAAAGAATTGCATTATTCTGTTTTTCCATCAGTTGTGATGAGTACTGGATGGATCTATAATAGTAGTTGCTAAGTAAATTTTTCTTAAATTGGACAGATGCTGATTTCAAAGCTGGAGAAGAATAAAGCCATGAAGTCAGAAGACAAAGCAGAAATCATGAAGACCCTGGAAATCTTGACTAATAGCATTACCAAGTTAAAGGATGAATTAAAAGGTGTATCACCAGGAGGAGGGGCTCCTTTAAAAAGCATGAAAACTAAGACTCAGGTACTGAAGTTTTGATCAGCTTTTTAGTAAGATGGATTCAGGTGCTTATGTCAGCAGAATAAAAATACGCAGCCACATCAGCAGTATTTAGAACCATACCAGTTTAATTTTGAAGTTGTCTTTGAAGTGAAATTGGTTTTGACCTCTTTTTGAAGGAACGTAGGTAATTTTAAAATCATGCTGTTGTCTGAAACATTTATCCACTGTTATTTAGATATTACATCATCTGGAAAATCAAAAAAACAACCCAAAAATCTTGATTATTTCTTTTGCCTTATCCGATCTTTTGTGTATGGTCTATTGCTTTCTTAAATTTTTAATAGAAATCATGAAAATAGTATTTTGTATGCAAAAGGATTACCATTATGCAACACAGATACCTTCTGGTCAAGTTTAATACACAAAACAAACTACATCATAAACTAGTTGACTACTGTATTGGTACATAATTTTCTGGGTTTTTTTATGTCGCTGAAATATTTCTATATATTAAGCTTTTTAGATTTGAAGATTATACTGGTCAGTTTTCCTTTGATGAAACTACTCATGTTTGCGTTATACCTGGTACAGGAGTTCCTTCCTCTGCTATTATTCTTGTTAATATATGGCCATAACCAGTTTCCCAACTGCTTAAAGATGCTACTATATTACCTTTTTAAAATGCAGTATTTTGCTTTTTATAGAAGTATTTGTTCCTGAACAGGTCAGAAGGTGATTAAGAATTAAGCGAGACTTTGAGAAATAACATTTTAAGATATTAATGTGTTCTTTTAAATACATTACAAGCTTTTTTTTCTTTATCAAGTGAGGAAGTGCATATGAATAAAAGAGCCAATTTTTGTACAGTGTATTTTCCAGTAGAAGACAAAAAGTCTCAATCTTTTCGTGCTGTTTTAATTCAGTTCTTAAATATTCAGAATGCTTAGTCTTCTCTTCTAATGTTTGGGATTCTATTTTAATAAGCTAGTGTAACATTCCAACCCAGATTTAATTTAAATGGATCATTAGTTTTCTATTTGAAACAGCATTTCTACTGCTTTATTTTACATAGAAATATAGGCGTTAAAAGTAACTGCAGTCTAAATTACAGTGATGTACAGTTTTGAAAAAAGTATCAAAAAGAAATACTGAAATGACCTGTATGTACTCACTGCAGTTTCTTACATCATTCATCAGTCATGAAGAAGTTAAAGCAGCATATATTTATCCTGAAAATGGACATAGATTATAATTCATGGAAGTCGTTTTATACCTCTTGAAACAACTTCAGTTGCAGTGGAATACTCTATAGTGTTTAGAGGGGGAACTAACAGTAATAATCCCAAAATTCAGACACTACTGTAATAAGTTTAAATCCTGTTTTTTGGAGATGAGAGATCTTTTTAATGTTTTTGAAAGAGTGGACGTTGTTTGGTGAGAAAATGTTACTGAGAGGTCTGAAGGAAGTTACCTACTTGTAGAGTAAATTTGAACTATAGCAGTCCTAGAAATTGGGAATGTTTTCAAAGCTGCATTTGATTGTTAAAGTTTCATGTTGTTCAGAAATACTCTTCTGCTAGTAGTGTAAAGTGCTTCACAAATTTGATCAGGAAGAATAGGTTATAACAGTTTTGATCCAGGAATAGTGATGGTTGTGGGTTTTGTCACATGCAAGGCAAAGAATCCAAACCCATAGAAATGAAGAAGCAAGTTGCGTCATGAAAGCTTGGTAAATTCTTGACTAGAAAATCATGAATGCAGCATTTTAACCCCTGATAGTTATTTTACGCTGAGAGTGGTCCAGTAAATTCTTAGAATGGACAAGAAAATAGTCTGGTAACACAAAACTGCTCATAACGGTTGAGATTGGAAAGGATCTCTTGGGGTCATCTTGTTCCATCACCAGCTGCCACTAAGAGGAGTCTGGATGTCTTCTTTACTCATCCACACTGGGTATTTATACACATGGATTAGGTCCAATCTGCCTGCCACCTTCTCGTCCTGAAGTCAAACAATCCCAGTTCTGTCAACCTTTGCTCATATAATAGATGATCCAGTCCCTTAATCATTTTTGTGGCCTTTCACTGGACTCTGTCCAGTATGTCTCCATTGTGCTGAGGAGCCTGGAACTGGACACAGCACTCCAGATGTGGCCTTACCACTGCAGATTAGAGAAGGATCACCTCCCTTGACCTGCTGGTGGTGCTCTTCCTAAAGCAGTCCAGGAGGCTGTCAGCCGCCTTTGCCAGAAGGACACATTGCTGGGCTCATGTTCAACTTCTCTGCTACCAGAACTCCTCAGGTCCTCTTTATCTGGGCAGCCTGCAACCTGTACTGGTGGCTGGGGTTAATCCTCCCCAGAGGCAGGACTTGGCATTTCCGTATGTTGAAATGCAAGAGGTTCCTCCTGCCCCATTTCTCCAGCATGTCAAGATCCTTCTGAATGGAAATGCAACCAGCTGGTGTAGCAGCCACTCCTCTGAATTTTTTATTGTCCACAAACTTGCTGAGGGCACACTCTGTCTTACCATCCGTGTCACTAATGAAGATGTTAAACAGTATTGACTGCTAGGGTACACCACTACCGACTGGTCTCCAGTTGGACTTTCTGCCACTGGTCAGAATCCTTTGAACCCAGCAGCTCAGCCAGTTTTCAGTCAATCTCACTGTCTACCTGTCTATTCAGTGTGTCATCCTTTTGGCTGGGAGGATGTTGTGGGTGACAGTATTGAAAGCCTTACTGAAGTCAAGATAACCAACTTCCATGAGTCTGCTCTTGTCCCCCAAGCCAGACATCTCATTATAGACAGCTGTTAAGGTCAATCGTGATTTCTCCTTCCCTTTTCCCTGTCACCTTCTTGTTCTTAATATGCTTGGAAATGGTTTCCAAGATTGATTGCTCCTTCATCCTCCCAGGGATTGTGGTGAGGCTGACCAGCATGTAGCTCCCCAGATCTTGTCCTTCTTGAAGACTGGAGTGACATTTGCTTTTTCTCAGTCCCAAGGAACCTCCACCAAATGCCATACCCTTTCAAATATAATTGAGATTGGCTTTGCAATGACATCAGCAAGCTCCCTCGGTATTTATGGTTGCATCCTGTTGGGTCACAGGTATTCGTGTATGTCCAGTATATTAAATGTTTCCTAACTTGATTCTCTTACAAGAAAGGTAAGTCTTATGTGCTCCAGGCTTTTCTATTGGTCTCAGGATCTGGGATTGCTGAAGGCAAGTCTTTCCAGTAAAGACTAAGGAGTAGGAGGTGTTGAGTACCTTGACTGTTCCTGTGTCCTTTGTTGCCCGGGCCCCTTTCACAATCAGCAGTCGGCCCATGTTTTTCACAGCACGGTGTTCCTTTTGCTGTTGATGCGCCTGCAGATGCCTTTCTTGTTCTTCCTTAACCCCCTTGCCTGATTCAACTCCAGATGGGCTTTGGCTTTCCAAACCAGTACCTGCATGCTCAGACAGTTTCTCTGTATTCCTTCTGTGATCTGACCCTGCTTCTATCTCTTGTACACCTTGGTTTTGGATTTAAGTTTTGTTAGGAGCTCCTTGCTCATGCAGGCAGGTCTTCTGCCACCTTTGCTTTATTTCATGCATGCTCTGAAACTTGCAGGATGTGGTTCTTGACAATCATCCTGCATTTTCAGCAGATACCCAGGGGCAGGGTCTTCAAAGAGGAGGCTTCTCCCAGTTGTCTAAAGAAGGTATCATCTACTTCTTTTACCTGATCAGGCAGTGCGTAGTACACACCCACTGCAACGTCACACACATTGGTTTGCTATCTTAATCCTGACTCATAAACTCATCGCAGAGCTCTGTGCATTCATACTGCACTGTCGCATAAAGGGCAACTCCTGCTTCTCGCCATCCTGGCTTGTCCTGCTCTAAGAGAGTATATCCATTCACTGCAGCACTCCAATCTCGTGTGAGTTTACCTATGTGGTTTCCATAGTCTCAGTGAGGTTGTAGCCCTGTCACTGCACACAGACATCTAATTCCCCTCCGTTTCATATGTTGTGTGTATTAGTGTACAGGCTTTTCAGAGAGGCACTGATTTCCCAGAAAACAAATGAGATCTTCCACCGTGATACTGTTCTGTAGCCCTCCCTCATTTGTATGGATTGGTATGTGTAGGCTTAAAGTGGTTGCCCTTCAACCTTGTTTTGTTATCTCGAGATTTCTTCTGCCTACATCACCCTTTGCTTGGTAGCCTGGTCCACCACTTCCTTGTGTGATTGTTGGTTTTACTTAGTAAAGTGAGATGATGTGCTAATTTGAATTACAGTTGTAGTGAAGTTCTTGAGCTGGTTTTCCATTTCCTTTGTAATATGGAAAGCAAAGAAATATTTTAAGCAAACCCATTTCGTAATGGACAAAATATCCAAACTGTAGAAAAGTTGATCCTATCGATAGCTTTCCTCTCAGGGAGTTGTGCATAATCTGTGAGCGTTGTTTTGTTAGCATTTGAAAGAGAGAAAACAATCAGTCCCATCTGACCTTTGTGAAAGTGAGGAATTAACAGAGCCTTCAGTTAAAATTTACAACTTTGACAATTTTCTGAAAGACTTTGCTCTCGGTTCTCTTGCATTTGCTTAGCGTTTAAAACCTGGGCAGCTCAGAAGGCCCTGCAAACTTGAAGCATAAGGTACACGAAGCCCATGTGACTGTGCCATTATCTTTACCTATTTTTGTCTTGTTCCAGTTCACGCAGATTACAAAATACTCTTCCCCCTGAGTGTAGAAACCTTTTGCTGCCTCTTGGTGTATCTTGAAGGAGGTATTTTCTTCTTCAGACCTGGCACAGCTCTATAAAAGAGAAGTCTACATTAAGAGCAATAGAAATAAACCTCAAAAGTGTAGAGACTTTGCAACACCCATGTCACTGGCTGCTTTGTGAGTTGTGACTGCTAGTCATTATTAAACTTCAGAAGTGCTTGTTTTGCTGTGTCACTGATGTGTTGCAACACAGTGGGATTTGAGAGAAACACTGTTTCCAATTTTGAAAACTTTGAAAACCATTATACAGGAGATAATGGATTTTTTTTTTTCTGTGGTTGCTGTAGATAATCAGAAAATGGGGCAGAACGGGGTTCAGGTTGAAGTTGCCAGTTGAATAATCCAGCTTTTTTTCTTTTAAAGCTTCCAGGAAAAAACAAAGAAACAAAAAGCCCCTTCTTTATCATTCAGTGGTGATACTTGGTTTCCAACTGTCACAACTGCGAAACCTTCATCTCTTGACAACCAGCCTTTGAATACATTACATGCTGTGGTTTTGAATCAACGGGTGTAAATGTAAAACTGTTTCACAGTCATCTATAATTTTTTTCTTCATTTGTGATGTCACTGGAACATTTAGCTGCTTTTTTCCATTAAAAAAAAAAAAAAGAGAGAAAAAAGCTTCCAATTTAAAACAGAACTTCAAATAAAATTTCCATGGTCCTGTAAAGCCCTTTCCTGCACCTATGCCAGCACCTGCACCTCAGTGGTTGAAATGAACATGGCTAAATTTGGGTTCAGAGACACCTTTCAGTCTCATACATATTTTTGAACTTTATAATTTTTTTTTAAGGTACTGTGTGCTGGAAGGCAGCTCTGGGTGCATCAGAGACCAACCTTTTGTTAGCAGAGGTCTTGTTACTGTGTTTTTTCTAGTGTGGTCTGAACAGAACTACCAATTACGTAACTGTGATAAGCTTAGATGCTTTTTCTCATTACTGATTATCGTTTTTGTATTCATTTATAATTATATTGCTTTTTTTCTTTGTAGAGTATCTTTCTATCTCATCATCACTACCATATAATTTTGCATTTTCTATTTTGTGTATCTCTAGTTTAGAAAAAATTCCATTGGCTTTGGCTTTGTGGGGTAGTCTAAAAGCTTTGACATCACCAAGCTCAGAAACATACTACTACACACTGAAGTTCTGTCTTGCCAAGAAGTCTCCTAAGCTTGTGCTTGGTTTGTTTTTGAAGGTGTAAACCTAGCGTAGTAAGCCGTATAGCTGCAAAGTTACAGCTGTGATCTGAATTAACAAGCCACAACTTGGTTAAGTTTAAAATTTCACTACAGCTTCTAGTTTTCAAATTCGCTTTCCTTAGAGTTTCTAGGAATTTACTTTCCAGATAGAGGTTCTGTGGCAGACTTCTACCTTACCTGGAGGCCAGCTCTGGCCAATCCTTAAGTCGCTGTGTATTTCTGAAATAGCCTGCTAATAGGAGTGTAGCAATAGATTCTTGGGTTTTATTGGAAATGTTTTTCTTCAGTAGAGAAAGTGAACTGTGGAACTAATAATTTACCGTAACAATTTCTTAGATGCAGAAAGAGTTACTAGATACTGAACTGGATTTATACAAGAAGATGCAAGCTGGGGAGGAAGTTACTGAATTAAGACGAAAATATACAGAGCTACAGCTGGAAGTATGTTTGTCTCTTCTTTTGTAGCAATTAACTTTTAATCAAATATTTTCATTTGTTTATTATCTTGTGTATTGTATCATAAACTGTTTTTTTTCCAGAGCACAATATTAAGTTGCATGTAGATGGAGGCATTTAGCAATAATACTTTAAAAAATCAGTTTCCGAATTCCACCGAGTTAGAGAAATAGTATTGTCTTTAATTTTGATTACTCATCTATTTAAATTCTGTAACTTAGATGTTACAGATCTAACTTAAATTCTGTAATTTAGATGACATGATATTTTGTAGGTTTGTAGTAGTAATATTTCCTTGAGAGCATGGAGTGTTTTTAAATTGTTGCCTGTAGGTGGTGTTGTGTTTGATGCACAAGAGTTGAAAAACACTGCTTGATCTTTTATTCCTAAGTGTTAGCATCCTCTTAATGAGATTAACCAAAAAGGCTGAAGTGCCAAAAGTAGTATTATTACAGCATTGGTTTCAAGAGAAGGCGGATTTACCAAAAGGAAATACAGTGTTTCAGAAGTGTTTGGTATATAGAAACACGCTTTTTCTTAAAGTTCTTGCTTTTAAAAAAAGTCAGAAGGCTGTGCAAGATTCTTCATATCTATGTGTCTTATTTTGAGAAATTCTGAATGCTGTGGGTGTTATTCCATGTTACACTGCACTGTCTTGCCTATGTGATTGTGTAATAACTACTTAATTGCATTATAATCTTATCTCTTTTTACCGTTAAGCAGGCTGCTGTGTCGCTTAAATCCCTCTTGTGTTAATGAAGTTTGGTCATGTCTTATGTATAACTACGTATGAACACAGTGCACATACATACGGCTAAGTTGCATTAAAATCCTACTTGAAAACTGAGTTGTTATGCAGCTTTGCTAATAGTGAAAATAGGTTTGTTAATAAACCAAGTCAACTGAATAGAGATGACGCAAGAGCTTATGTTAACAATATATATTCTGATGGTGAATAGTTATTTCATAGGTGTACCGAAAGCTTATTTATGTCGCACATTTTAGAAAATATGTAAATTGAATAATCTGTGAAATAGCAGTAGAAAAGTAGGTGCTCGTTCAAGCTAAAGTTACAGTGTAGTTTAGTGCTAATCCTACTCCATCTCTCATTGAGTCTGATTGTATTTTGAGTTGGAAAAAAATATGTAGCTCTTTCAGGAAAATAAGTTTTACTAGTTAAATGACTATTCTGAGGCCTTTAGCAAATACTGATCAAAGTAGATGGAGAAAAACGGGGTTAATAGCAAAGCACACCTCTACGTTTCAAGAAATAGCATGAAGTGTATCCATTGTATAATTTACAAGAGGGATATGGATTTTTTTTCCTTTGGTATTGGTTTGATTTTTCAGTATTCTTACAAATTCTTTAGAAAAACTTTTATTCACGTATTTTCTTTGTGACTAACTCCTGCAATATTCATGTGTTGCTTCTGTGGCTCATAACTTGCTGTTCTGTTCCAGGTGGCCCTGATTTTACTTTGAGAAAACTCAAACAGTATACAGCTTGATAGTTGAGTCAGCACAGTCTTTAACTTCTGGGATTATTCATTTAACCATTTCAAATTATTTTTTTTTAAGAAAAAAGCAACAAACAAAAAAACACCCCCAAAAATAACCTGCAGGATTCTCTTTACAAAAAAATGAAAGGAGAACTATATACTATTGTATAACTGTCTGAATAATTTCATTAATAAAGCCATAACAGATTGATCTCCTCATGGATGATACCAATGGCATGCGTTAAAGTAGTACTATTAGTGCTTGAGTTGTAAACACTGTAGAATATATTAAAAACATCGTTATGGTGATTTCATTAAACATTTGATTCCTACATCAGATCTATTTGGGTTTGAAAATTATTTTTTTTTTCTTATAAATGCTGAAATTAAATCCTTGAAAGTGCTTTTTTGAAACTTAAAATAACTTTTGCAAATTATTTTTTAAATGGCTGTCAGAGATACTGTCATCATCCTTTTGACTTTTCTTGGAGAGTATATGCCAGTTCTTTAGAAGGGATACACAGGTATTGTGTGAATGGAAATTAGTGAGTACATAGAGCCAAATTTTTAGCAAATACTTTGTCCTTGGAGGTGCTTGTTAGAGCCTCTGTTTCATACCGTACAGTTCTGTGCCCAGAAGCTTTTATGCTGCATTAATTCTGGTCAGAATAAAAGTCCTGGTTGGACTTTGAGAGACAAATTAAGAGAGAAAGATAAGGAAACAAATGAAGTAGGTAGTCACCACATCAAGAAAATCTATTCGTTAATGAAATTTCAATGTGGTACTGTAGTTCCTTTCTCCTATGAGGAATTATCCTCACAGATAAGGGATCTTTGGATACCTGTTTTTAATAACATGTTCTTTTTTTTCCTGTTTCTGTCCTATTTTTGATCTGTTAATTATTAACAGTATTAGCTCTTTACTGTTACTAGCGTGTTCACCTTTCGTTATTTTAAGTCGTGTAAGCTGCTCTCTGGGGCTTGTTCGGGGGTGTGTTTTTAGGAAACATCAGAATGTGTTTGTTAATTTTGTCTAAATATTTAGATTGCGCATTTTAATACATCAATATGTTATGTGTAAACATCTTAGGCTGCCAAACGAGGGATTCTTTCTTCAGTTCGTGGTAGAGGGGTTCATGCAAGAGGTCGGGGTGCATCACGTAGCAGAGGTAGAGGAATACGAGGCCGGGGTAGAGGCAGAGGAGTTCCTGTGCATGCAGTTGTGGATCATCGACCTAGGGCATTAGAGATCTCTGCATTTACAGAAAGTGATAGAGAAGATCTTCTTCCTCATTTTGCGGTATGTGGCAATTTCACTTTTTCTGGTCTATCGAATGACTTCTTTTCCCTTGATTCAGCTGATCTGGAAATATTATTTAGGAATGAATCTTTAACATGGTATATTTGTTCATGGAAAAAGAGAATGCATGAGTAAAAGGTGAAACAAAGAGGAATTACACCATTGGTTGAACTAGTTATAGCTGAATAGCATTTGCAAGACTTGGGGTTTTTTTCTTAAAAAAAAAAAAAAGGAAATTGGGAATATAAAGTAATGACTCATAATATTTATTTGTTCAGGATATGTATAAAATTGTTAAAAATTTTTAGGTATAGAAAGATAAAATAACTGAAGGGATGGTGAGAACAAAGATTGATTCAGTGCCAAACTTTCAGTGCTTGAAGTCTGTTTATCTTTGTTGAAGTATCTTAACAAATGCTTAATGAAAATTTTCCCTGACGATTTTCAATGCTTTTGCTTAGTTTTCTGACTTGAGGAATTGAGATGAGAATTGGGTAACTATATTCAGATCTTGGCAGGGTAGGCAAAGTTTTCTGTCTATTCATTGCTGCAAGCTTAAGAAGTCAGAGCTTTTTCTACATTTTTTTTTCTCTTTTTAGCCTAAAAAACGATTAACTGATGTACATAATATTTTAGCAGATTTTTATTTACAAATATAATAAAGTGAGAAATCAACATAAATTTATAAAAAACATTGTCCTTCATTAAAAAAATGTTATAATAAAAGGAAATATGTTTATTTTGTGGAATGAATGCTAAGAATACGTAGTAGCATAAATTGTGTGAATCTTCATCTGTGTTGTGTCCTGCCTACCCTACCCTCATTGGGTTTTTTGGTTTTTTTTTGTGTTTTGTATTTTTTTTAGGGGGGTGGGGGTGTTTCAATATTTAATTACAGTGGTCCTCTCTAAAGGTAGAAGTCCAAGACCCAGTAAGTCCAGTAAATTCTACTCCGGTCAGTGTACTTAATATTTCCTGTCGGGCAGCCATGCAAGCAGCTTTTCAAAAGAACAAGAGCCAACAAGGACCTGTCTGTCCTTTTTAAAAGAAGAAAAAAACCCAACCAAACAAAAAAACCCCACCATTATTATACTGCATTTGTTAAAGTGTCATGTTTCCAGGAGCTATATATGTATGCACATACAAAAATGTACATATGTATTTTGTTTCCCTTAAATACACTGCATCATACCTACATAAGGGAACAAAAAGGGAACCATCATACCCATAAAGGGAACAAAATTACTTTTTATAGAGATGAATGCCAGACTGAACGTTTATACATGCCTATATATATGTGTGTGTGTGTATTTAAGAGGAACAGAAGTACTTTCTATAGGGATGTATGATAGACTGAACATTTAAGCAATGACTTCACAAATTTTTGGTGTAAAAGAACGAACGTATAACTTTGAAGTGAAGCAATGCAGTCCGCTTGTTCAGCCGCAGGACATTTCTCAGTCCAGTTTCAATGATGAGTGTAAAAACCCCCTTATTTTTAATCTACAGCATTATATTGTGATTTAGTCTGCCTTATGAATGTTGCTGAACTAAATTTTGCTGGTCACCTTTCCTGTTTTTCATTTCATTATGTACTTGTAGTGACTGTAAAGAATATAAAAATGATGACAATATAAAAATGAAGACGGAATCTGCCACTGTTAAAAGCTTGCTGTGTGGTGTCAGTTTATAGTCATAAATTTGCTCATAACTTAGCTTTTTGTTATTCTTTGGTTTTATTGCAGGGACTGTTAAGCTTGCCATCTTTAACAAACAAAAAGTATTAACAACAAACTTACTAGCGTCAACAAACACAATTCTGTTCACGGTGTTAGTAGTATAACACTGAGAAAAAATGTTAATTATTTCATTTTGCAGGTTGAGCATTTGCTGTTTTAAGCTTGCTTCAAATTCCATGGAAATGCACTGAGCTGTATTTCTGTTTCTGTGATATGATATCACAACTCTGCACATCAGCAGTGCACTCCACCTATACAGATATGTTGGGCATTGCAGCTTACAGTGATGGCAGCATTAAAGGTAGCAATACCATAGAGACCATTACAGGAATAGATGGGTCAGGTTCTTAAGATGCTGGAATCAAGTTAAGTTTTGAAACTTTTTCTACAGTCCCTGTGTCTAGTAAATATTTTGTAGTAGACTTTCATAATAGACTCATGGAATCATCTCAAGATCCCTTTTTCCTGATCAAGAAAGAAGCAGAAGAACCTCTTTTTCTGTCATAATTTTACTTCATACCTGTATGTTTATAATTGGGAAATCCAGAGACTACAGCACTTCTGTGTTTTAGAAATGCAAGTAAAACTAACTGGATTCCTTGCAAGGAATAAGTACTCTGGTTGGCATTAAGGTTGTGAAACGTATGCTATTTTAATTTTATATGATTTTTGAGGGCATTTGATATAGGGTAGCATTTTTAGGGGTGTATAACTATTTCACTAAGCCTTTTTTTCTTTACTATTTATTAAAAGCAATATGGTGAAATTGAAGATTGCCAGATAGATGACTCTTCTCTCCATGCGGTGATTACCTTTAAGACAAGAGCAGAAGCTGAAGCTGTGAGTATAGTCTTGTTGAAACTACTCTGCAACATTCATCTACTTGCTAGTTACATTATACTTCTATATTTGATTAAATTTAATACTGCTAATTATTTTAAAACATTTTAAAAGAGGTCTGACACGAAATTTAATTCAAGATTAAACAAAACTGTCAGAACAGCACATTACTGAAATCCTTGGAAAGTTGTGTTTATAGCAAACTCGAGTACAGGATATAGGGAAAAATTAAGAGGAAACACTTGGGAATTGGTAGCTGGATGTTTTGGTTAATCTTTATTTAATTGCCAGTTGTTTTCATCTAAAACTTGGTACCCTCACAGTTTTCCTGAAATTTCATTGACACCCTGCAGAGCAAGCCTATATATTTTGATTAGGATCAGTTGGATTTACCTTTGCCTGAAAACCTGTGATGGTGTAAATGTGATTTGATGTGATGGGATTTGCTTTTTTTTCTTTTTAGCATATTTCTTAGAAATTTAGGCAATTACAGAAGCATAGAATTATAGAAGTAACTTTTAGAGAGTAAAATCCAGAGTTGAGTTATGTTGTAATTCAGCATCCTTACATATGGATCATTAGGACTTTGTACATTTGGCTCAGCGGGACTTCTGCCTTACTCAGTCTGTGGTGTAGACAACATGTGAACCTGTGCAAAATAAGGAACGTAGTTGTTCTGCAAATGATTTTGTTTTCTTTAAAATCTTTGCATCACTGTTGGGAAGGAGTATCCTGAAAATAAGAGGGACTCCAGAAAGAATGGATTCATATTTACAGTCTAGTTGTATGGAAAGGTTTCATTTTATATTTGTATTTTGCACAAGGTTTCTATTTTTGCACAAAGCTCATCTTACAGAGTTACTTGAACACAATTTTCATACCTGGCCAGACTCTTTTTGTATGCTTTTCTTGACCAGTGACCTGATTGACAGGAATACTGATACTTACAGTGCAAATTAATCCAATGGGGACAATAGTTTTGAACACATACAGTATCATTATGATTGCATATTTTGAGAAACAATTTGATGCATGTGCCAGAAATGTTTTACAGAAGCACAGAAATTCTGTTCGTGAAACTCTTAGTTGTAGCAGTGATGAGCACTAACTGTATGGAGATTATAATTATTCTGTCAAAAAGGAAATTTAATTAATGGTACATAGGATATACTGATTGATAGAGAAAACCAGTACTGTACAACTGTGTTGAAGGAGCACAGTTCAACAGTGAACAAAAGTTCTGTGGAGAATAAGAAATACCTGCTTGCAGATAAAAGCTGTCGTAATTAGTGTACTCACAAGTGGACTGAATTAAGGTTGGAAGTTTAGTTTTGCTGCTTCCTGACATTGGGTGCTTCATTTTGCAGTTTCATTATCTTTGATGACATAGTTTACAGAAGAAATTTTCTAAGTATTGAGAGGGACTTCTGCTTCCCTGAAAATAAAAATAGATCACCTAGAACAATTATCTGTTTTATGAACTGTCAAAATAAAGTCTTCGCTTCTGCCAGGTGGAGTATGATTCACAACAAAGATCTTGAGAGTATCTTACTACGGATACTTGTTTACCAGCAAAATTCAGTTTTTACTGTTAGAACTTGTTTTGCCTAAAAATAGGCACGGAGGATTTTTTCAGCCTTACCTAAATCTCTGTACCCAAAAAGCAGGGAATTTTGGAACCAAACATAGAAGTGTAGACATAAGAAGCACCTGAAAAAGAAGGTAGTGCAGAGAATGGAGAAAGATGTGGGCAGGACAAAAATAGAGTTATATTTGGTGGAAAGGTTGAAGTCAACATTATGTGCTTCTCTTTTTTTTTTTTTTTTTTTCTTTCTTTCTCTTTTTTTCTTATTTTTGATGATGCATTTCATTGCGTTTGAAAAGCAGTATGTTTTTCCTCAATCACTCTCATTTTTATGAAAACTGTGTTTGATCAAACATGGTAAAATCTGTATTTTCCTTAAGATATTCTTATATATTAAATATATTTCCACTGGTATTTCTGTGTTTACTACTAAGGCAGACTTTAAGAATGGCAATTGGAGAAGTTGTAGAGGATAATCATTAAAAACCTCTGTTGAGGACAATTGTGAAGTAAATGCAGCTAATATTTTACCTTCTTAAATGAAAATAGGCCTGGGCTTTATGACCATATATGTTCTAGCCTGGAAGGAAGAGGAGGATTCCCTGTTGTAAAATGTTGCATTTTTATGTAGTAGTAATTTGTTCCAAAGATTACAAGTTGTTTCTGGACCTAAATGTCACGTATAAGTACTTCTAAAAATTCTAGTTGTGTGACATTGTGATGAGACCATGGACAAAAAGCTCCTGAGCTGCATTTTAATAAGCATAGAATCTTTTAAATTTATCATAAATTTATGTGTACAGTTTTAAAATTTATACCTGGGGACTTTAATATCACACAATTCATGTTCAGATGTCATTGAACATGTAATTGTTTCTACATTTCACATTATGCTGTGCTTTCAGATTGTACTATAAATCTTTTGTGACCATGACGGTTATTTCGGAATGTTGCTAACGCTGATTTATGCTCATTCATGTTACTTTAATTTGAACATACTATTTCCAAAGCAGCCACTTAATGCAGCTGGTACTTAGAAAGGCATGAATATCCCATAAGTTAAAAATTTTTACATTTCAATTACAACGGCTTTACAGGAAGTGGGACGTTTTCCAGTAGATTAAGTTGTAATCACAAAGGGGCTTTTTGTAGTTGTTTTGGGTTTTTTTTTAATATGTTAAATCATTTGTATTTGTGGGAAGTCTTAACTTCTTCCAGTAAGTTATGCATTAACAGTTTTGTGTCCGTCTTTGAAAGGTGAAGAACCCATCAAGATAATATTAAAAACCAGGAAGGTGTTGGTCCAGTAGGTTACCCGCATCACCAAATGGTGTATGGTTTTCAAACCTTATTTTCTTCTGAATATATTTTGATCATGTTCCTGAAAGGATGTAAGAATTCCATGTGCAGTGAATGAAGTTGTTTTGTTTTAACCTATTAACAGTAATTCAGTACGAAAATATTACAACTTGGATTTTCTTTGGAAAAGCAGGCTGTTGGTTTATTTCTGGCATTAAGTACTATTGAAGTTATTTTTTCCCCTGACAAATATATGACTAAAATGTTTAAACTTGTTTTAGGCTGCAATTCATGGATCTCGTTTTAAAGGACAAGAGTTAAAGCTGGCGTGGAACAAGCCTGTTGCTAGTATGTCAGCTGTTGAAACAGAAGAAGCTGAACCTGATGAAGAAGAAGTAAGCTTGCTTTTTCTTTTTTTTGTTTCCTTTTTCTTTTTTTAAGATTAAATAATGTAGCTTTGTCAAAAGAAAATGATTTGTTGATTCATACTTCTATTTTTGAATCTAACTCATGTTTTGATATCAGAAAGTGGATTTATCTATAAATACACTTCTTGTTTTCTAGGCTGTTGAAAATCCTGATACTTTACTTTTCCTTGCAGAAATGTTTCACTTCTAACACGATAAAAAACTCTAGAAACAAATAGAAAGTGGAAGGGTTGGGTTTGAACTTGCATGAGGGAGATTGAGGATTTTGTCCAAAACATGGGGTTTTGTACCATCTACTTCAGGCACTAATTTCTTAGAGGATCAAATTTCAGAATCTAGTTTTACTTTATAGAGAGAGGTGGCTTGGAGGATACGAGTGAAGGAATAATTTAGAGCGTTTACTAACTTCATTCAGCCATCTAAAGTACCTCAGCTGAGAGTTAATCCTCATCATGGTCCAAGAGAGACATTAAAGCCTTGTCCAAATAACCTTAAATGGTTAATGCAGAAATAGCGGGGCAACGTTTCTTGATGCATTTAACGCATTACACTCAAAATGCCACTTTAGGGAAGAACTCTAATTCATTTACTATCAGTTAACTATATATACACAGTTGCCATAGAATAGCTGAAGTAGAAGTACACATTGACTTACTCGGTGGTATTATTTTGTCTGTATGCTTTTCCTGTGGTATTTTGACAGGCCTACCATAGAAGCAGCTCCACAAGGTTGTTTTGATATAACTAAATTCAGTTATTCTTTTTACATTTTGTAGTATTGCCTTTCTGTTGTTTGGTTGTTTTTTTTTTTTTCTGAAGAAAGCCAGATGGTCTATTTGTTTTCTGTCTCCAAAAATGCTAATTTCTTTGTAGTATGTCAGCCAAAGACAGGCTACCTCCACCACTGTGTATTCATATCAAGCATTTGTGCATTCTGACCTAGTAAATATTACCCTCTTTGTATATGCAAACCTCAAGCATTGTCAGATAGTAATGAGCTGTGAGTGAACAAGAGGCTATATTGGGGAATCTTCAGAGCATATTAGATATTTTGTCCCTTCTCCTTCAGGGATGTGTTGCCTGTTCAAAATCAACAGCAATGTTTGTTGCTGTAAGGAGTCTACTTTATTGAGAGGTCTCACTGAGTTACTACTTCACTGAGACTTCTCCATTTTGCATAATGAAGGAACGGCATGCTGGGATATGCAAACACTTTAGCAGAGTAAAGGAAGGAAAGTACAGATTCATTGGTAGGTGAACTACAGTGAGATTTGTCTTTTAACCCCACCTGGAGACACTGAGTGTAGGAGGGAACCTCTGGTGTGTAGGTAGTGGGGGAAAGGGAGTGGAGCTGCATGCATGGGCTGCTCTGGCAAAGGGAAACAACAGATTTACAAAGACCTTGGGTCTGGGTGCTTGATAACATCTTGTCAGCTGAGATGTGTTTGTGGTAGTGGGATACATGTGGTTTAGGTGATGGTTGTTCTCCTTAATAGGAGTCATCAGGTATGGAAAGAAAACTCAGGGAAAAGACCGCATGAAACTGTTTTCCGTAATTCATAATTTCATAAATATGAAATTCATAATTGGACTCAGCTAAAATTTTCCATATTTTCAAAATTTAAGTTAAAAAGGGGGAGTAAGGTTTTTTGTTGTTGTTATTAAGAAATCATTTCATTATTCAAATGTTTACCTTTATTGTAGATTTTTTTCCCCAATCATTTATTTTTCTACACTTTTCTTGAGATTTTATTTTGTTCTTAATTTAACTGTTTTTTATTTGTCTCTGGACTGTGTCTGCAGTCATGCTTTGGCTAATTATTCTTGTGGAAAATGTATAGGAGTTGATCTTGGATCAAACCCCCTAGCTGTTCATTGCTTTTTTGTGCTTGCTTGGATTTTATTTGAATTTTCTACAACTGAATTAGTCCCCCTAACCTTCACCAAATTTCTTTACGTGAGGGATTTCTGTTTGATAATCCTTGGGAAATCTTGCATTTATATGACATTCTTTCCTTCTGTGAGTTTTGTATTGCTTCTAGCATTTGGTGAAGTTAGTATTTGAAGTACAATGTTATGATCCCCAGGTCCTGGATGGATGAGTTCAAGAACTTCATATTCACATGCCGAAGTCCAACCAATTGCATAAAAGAAATTTTACATAGTTTCATTGTTTAAAATTTGGTACTTATACAGGATTAGATTGGGGGTGGAGTAGGTTCTTATAGTCAGTGGCCTGAATTTCAGTCATGCGTTATTTATGCACATAAGATGTCTTGAGTTTCTGCATGCCTACAACTCATCATTTAACTTCATTTCATAGCAGCTATTGTAAACACAAGAAAAAGGTTTCCTTCATTTTTTTTTATGGCTAAACTACCATTTTACTTCAGCTGAGGAATACTGTGCTAAAGAGGGACAGCAGGCTTAAGACGTGAGTGAAACTAAGTACCTTGATGTTTGGAAAAAAAAAAAAATGAAGGGGCGGGGGGAATAGGGAGATCATTAAGCAGATTGACATTGTTAATAATGAAACGGAGCTCCTCGTCCGTTTGTGAAAATATGAGTTAGGTCTTTTGGACTAAGATGCTCTAGAAAATCCCTGGCGAGTAGCCACTCAATTATGAAAGCACCTCATCTCCTTAGATGCCTTATGTTCTACACCTGGGTGCCTAACAAAGGAGTTGACTCTACTTAAGTCAACAACAGATACCTAGGAAGTGTATGAGATGTGTAAGTAGAGTGAAGCTTTTATTCATTAGTGGTTTGCAGTTCAGGGACCTGTTGAATCAGAAGTGTGGTGTCTTCATAATTGAAGGCCCTTGATAGATGTTTATTTTATGCATTTGTCTGGTTTCTTTGGAATCTAAATAGCACCTATAGTGTCCTGCAACAGGGAATGCTACTGTTCAACTATGCCTACCAAGAATAAGTATCTTTATATGGAACCTGCCACCTACATTTTTAATTTTGATGTTCTGCTGCTCTTGCATCAAAAAGAAAACCATCGTTCTCTCTTCAGTTTCTCTGAGACACTTAGTATATGTGGACTCCTGTCATACTTCCCCTCGGTTGCTTCCTCTTCAGGCTACAGAGTCCCTATAGTTGTTCCCCTATGTGGAAGTTGGTCCAGGCTTTTTGATAATCCCTACTGCCACTCAGCCTTGTGCACCTGAGTTCTGCATTGTGTGGTGCCCAGGACGCCGCCTTTTTGACAGCAGTGTTGTATTTTGCATCTAGACACCAGGGGAAGAGGCTAAGTCCTCAGAAACCTTCTGTGTTTTAGTCTGGCTCAAAGTACCCAAGCACGTGTTGACAGAAGAGTCAGGTGTAGGCAGAGCTGCTTTTTAAAATGCACTTTCTGTAGGCAAAAGTAATGAAGATAGTAGTTTCTCCCTGTTGTAGAACAGCCTACTGGAAAGAGAGAAAGCTTAGTTCTAGGCTTTCTTCATCCTAGAGCCTCGTGTCTCTCCAGAAGGCTCCCTAATTTCACAAATCAACCTTCTCACCTCTTGTTGGATTTGGAAATTCTGTAGCAAAAAATTACAATTACTGGGACACGAAAAATAAGCAAAGAGGACCATAACTGTTATCTAAAGGCTGGGAGACTTTGCCAGGAAAAGGCATCCTTGTGTTTTAGTACTTTCTTTAGCTCGTGCAGAAATTGCTGCTATTGGTGCAATCACCGAAAAAGTTCTGAGACAGGATAGTTTATATATACACTCCTGTGTCTATCTATATGTAGACAAAAATTAAAATAACTCACTGTTTATCTTTCTTATTTTTAACTTTGCCTCTCTGAAGCCTGTAACTGTCGACCTGAAATGTTCAGGGGGTTGTGAAGTTTGCCAAGTTACAGTGGTTTTACTGAAAGCAATTGAAAATACATTAATGTATTTTGTCTAAATTTCTGTAATTACCTGTCTCCCCACTCTGATCTTTTAAATCTTTATATCGGTTTAAAGCTTGCTTAAGCTGTCAAAATCAAAATGTCTCAGATTCAACCTTTTTGATACTGTGACACAGATGGATTAAGCTTTTGGGTGAAAACAGGCATAATTATTGTTAACGTGCAAAAGCTAACATTAGTTTTCAATATAGCATGGGAATATTGCAGCTTGGGCATGAATGATGGGCTGAAGAATCAGAAGAGCTATTTAAATATGAGGTGCATATGTCCTGATCATATTGAAATCCACTGAAAATAAAAAACCCTATGTTTCATTTGCCATTTATTAAAATATGTATATAATACATATATATACAGCTTTTTTGAAAGCATTACTGTTTACCTGTTAAAAAATACATTTTTTCGTTATTAAATTGCACATATCAGAGACTTGTATTTTGCCTTTTGGCCTTTTACCATTTTCTGACATAAGAGTATCATGTTTTTCTCTTGAAGTTCCAGGAAGAATCTTTGGTGGATGATTCGCTGCTTCAAGATGATGATGAAGAGGAGGAGGATAATGAATCTCGTTCATGGAGAAGATGATTCAACTGATGAATGACAATACTAGAACTGCACCTGTGTTGCATTAGTATTACCTAATGTACTTCTGCATCTTTGTATTAAAAAGGGTTTTGTGATGAAGTTGGATTCGGATATAGACTAAAAAGCAGCTGGTCGGTTATACGTTTTGAGAGATTGATGTTTGAGTTACATTTCAGTAAATGATTGCTAAAGACATCATACTAGGAACATATGCAATGTTTTTATTACATAGTTCTACAGAAAGTTACAGAATTCTTTGGGTTCTTTGTAATTTACCGAATTGGTCAAACACAAATGACCAAAAGTTGTTATAACATAGATAATTTTTGTTCTATTCCAGATACGGAATGAAAATTTGCATTTAAAATCTTTGTGAATGTTTTCAGAAATGAATAGATAACAGTACTAAACTGAAGTCTCTAAAGCTATGTATTCATAATATTGCATAGTAGTATGCTTAGGCTTTACTATGTACTAGCCTTTTGTTGGATTTGTGTACGTATTTTACCTATGGGTTTTAATGATAAAGTGTATGACTGCTTTGCATATAAGTCCTTATGACTTTAAGATGTTAAAAAATAAAGAAATGGAATGGTCTTCAAAAAAAAAAAAAGAAAAAAGAAAAAAAAAAGCAATAACCAAAAAAGCTAAGGCAATGGTCCTTCATAATGAAAAAAAAAAAAAAAAGAAAAAAAAAAGAAAAGAAAAAAGACCATTCCAAATGGCAACCCCCACCCCCATATTCACAAAAGGAGCTCTTATCACTGATACTAAAATAATATTGAATATAAAAAAATCTCAACACCATGACGTTTCATTTACATTAACACAGAAGTGTACCCTGTTACATAAAAGTTTTTGGATGTCTTCCGAATTTTGAACTGATTTAAGTCAAACAGTAAATAGAATAATATTCCAACAATAAGGAATTTATTCTGTATCCCTGCACTGTGCAACTGTAGAAGAAAATTTGATCCCACAGAAATGCACAATACTGAAAGATAGTTTAGAAAAATATTTTAGGTCAAGTGGAACATTTGGTAGGTATTATTCTAAGAACTTTGACTATGCACACTAATGGATCATTTTTATTCCTGTGTTTCTATGATTACATTTTTCCATTTCAGAAGTAATGCTCAGCAGATACTGAGTTCACAGTGTAGTGTATATTAATCTTTTAAAAAACATACATACGTGAAATGTTAGTAGAATTTCTGCTCCACAGCCTTAATTGGCCCTTTCTAACAGGGCATTCTGTTACGTGAGGTCTGAAGTTTCTCCTGGTCTTAGGAAGGGGAACTGCCTAGTCCTTTGCAGTAAAGGACGTCTCTCACTAGAAATAGTTGGTTTTATTTCCATTCAGTAGCACACTGCTGGTCAGTTTTCAAAAGAAAATCCATTTATTGAGTAGTAGAGTTGTGGGGTTTGTTTTTGGTTGGGTTCCCTGCCCCCCATCTACTCATTAATGACTTCAGCATAAAACCACTATCTCATTCATCAAATAGATGCAGGTGATAGTACTTCAGTTAACAGTATATTTTATTTAGTTTCTGGTTTTGTCTTTTAGGGAGGGGAAGTGGGGGAGAACTGATGTAAGTCATGTCCCTGCCCCCCCCCCTTTTATTTTTTTAATCCCAAAACAGGAATGGAGGAAAGTGAAAGTAATAGTATTCCACAGAGAAGAGCTCTGGCTGTAGAATTTTTGTTCTGTACTTCTCAGTTATTTGAGGGGGTTTTGAGAACTGCATCCTGTTTGGTTTTGGTTTTGTTTTTTTTTTTTTCCCCTATGTCCCTGTGTGTATGCATATCTTGTTGCAAAAATATGCACTTAAAATTTTTGTATAGTCTTAGTTTCACATTGAAATTTCACAATTGACTGCCATGCTTGTTACAGTAAGTTCTCAATCTTGCCCTAAGGAATTGTATTTGGAAAATTGATTTCCTTTTACACTGAATTTCAGGCAAAATAAAATATTTTAAGAACCTTTTTTTTTTTCCAATGCTCTGAATGAGCTGTTCTAGGTCACTGAATTAAATACAAGCTTTCCTACTTTCCTTATTTAATAATTTAGTACATCTGAAGGGTGCCAGATTGACAGTCCAGGAGGTAGAGGTTTTTTGTGTGTTGTCATACAGAACAGATAGAGCACAGGGAGGGACTGTGGATGCTGCCTTAAGGTGGTTGTGTGGCATGCTTTGTCTGGTGCTCAAACCTGCCTTTTACCTGCAGTCAATCAACGAGCTAATGACAACTATTGGTCTGTTCTTTACATGGATGCTTCTTAGGAATCATCTGAAATTGCTCTATCACATAATTTAAAAAGGAATAGTCCAAGTTTGCCCGCTTGTTTTGAATTCGGCTTGCTCATGCATCCATGCGAGATTCATTTCTTAATAACTGTTTGCACCCTGGTCTACCTATAAGGGGATGAAACCTTTTAAAATTCTTTTTACCACTTTTCTCCCCCAAACTTCCATCAGTGAAGGGTGTCGGAGGGGGGAGTTCTCACTGGTGTGTATTTTGTCCCCTGCTGTGACCCTGTGACACTCTGAATGATTGAAAACCATCTTGATCGGAACGGCTTGGTTTACTCTTGCTTTAAGAAACAAACCCAAATGTTTCTTTCAGTCGAAACTAATCTGTGATTGTATGCCATTCAGCATAAGAGAACGGTGTCCCGGTTGCAATCTGTGAATTCCATACATATTTCTGTCGTTATCAAATTACTTTCTTGATTTGATTTCCTTTTGGCTTGCTCTGTCCTTGTGTTCCTTGTCTAGCTTTGCTCCCCCTTTTTTGCTACTACCTTCGCTGACTCTTGTTGTTACAGTTCAGTCAGATCCTTATTAGCACAGCCTTCAGTGAAATCTGTTGTCACCTTGCAGCATCATCCTTCCTTGTTTGAATCAACAAACCAAGCATCCTGCTGACTTTCCTTCCCTTCTTTACCTAATTCATCCTTCTGAATGCATTCCCAAGTATGCCTCCACTGTGATTAGCTAAATCATTGTATTTTTTTAACAGTTCTGCAAATGGATTTTCCTAGTCTGAAACACCAAGAATGGGGTTACCTTGGTTTTCCCTAGGCAGCTTTTCAAAATTTCTGTGGAAAAAAAGGTAAACATTTATGAAGGTATTTTCTTTTCCCGCTAGATGCTAAAGGGCTTGATTAAGATGTGATCTGACACGTAGTTCAATGACAATATTGTAGTAAACCACGTTTGCTGAACTACAAAAAAATTTCAGTAATGGGAGTCAGTAATCCAGACTATATTACAGTCTGTCTACAAAAGAGTAAAGTAACAAGAATACCCCTGTGAAGTATTACTTACGGCCAGTGCTATTTGTATTTTTCTTCTCTTAAAACTCATTTATTCCAAATCAGAAAACCCATAGGAGAAATTAAAGTTCTTTATTAGTGAAACACAAAGGTACAGGACTTATTTTACAACCAAGTCTAAGCAGGTCTATTTCTTAAGTAGAAAAAACACCCATTGATAGGTATGTATATAATATAACTTCAGGTACTTAAAATAGATTTCTGTTCTAAACCACACTCTGAAAAGAGTCTCTATTCCTTAGCTAGAAAAGGAGTCAAAAAATTACCCAGGTGACTTCGGTATCTGAGAACAGTGTGGCATGATTGTACCTAATTTAAAACATCCTATTTTATTGTTGACTATCCAGAGGTCCCCAAACTGACTAAGCTTACTATTCTTATCAGCCCTTGGATAACTTCTAATAACTACATTTTTTGTTTGTCTTTTTCCTATATGAACTAGACAATTAGTAATTGTCAGTTGTCTCATGAGTATAAAAGAGCACAAAAAGATGCACAAGAATTTAGTTTTGACTCAAGGAAGTGATCTTGGATGTTCCCTCTATTTTTTTAACTAATCCCTGAACTAGTAGGTCTCATGAAAAATTAGATGGGGAGTGGCAGGGGATGTTTTTTTTCTTTCACCAGGCATACACCATTGTTGTACCAATGCACAAAGTAATGTAAAAGGGTATAGACCTTCAATGAAGCACTATTTACTGTAATTAAACATTGTTTTAGTGCTGCAACTAAAGAAGATATAGTCAGATTTAATCCTATATCGCTTACCTTTTATTACAATTAGCGAATTAAGTTACAATTAACAAATTAATATTAGAACAACTGGAACAAATAGCAGACGTTTGAGGGGTTTGTTGGGGAAAAAAAGCAATGGAGTTGAGTATGAAAATCTGAACAATTTTGATTGTTCTTCATCATCCTCTTCTAAATGGAACTGTTACTTACTGTACTGATGTTACAGCACTTGATTATTTTCAAATGAACCTGTTAATTAAGTTAGACAAACTAGAAGTTTTAGATTTTTAAAAAAAAAAAAATGTTTTTTACTTAAGCCAACATAGATGTTAACTGATCCTTAGTGAAAATGATCTCTCAGATTTTGTGGACTCATGTAGACCTTTAAAGACACTAGTATGCTTGTCACACAGTTGCCTAATACCGTAGTTTTATACAATAATTATTTTCATTTTTTACCTTAGTATGTCTTTGCATGTTTTATTCTGAACCATGTTTTAAATCTGTAGACATCAAAAATACTTGCAACAAAAACAGACTTCAGTGACTGCAGTCTTTTATTTGAATTATCTTTAGATGTAATTAGAATGCTAATGAGAGGGAGGTCAGGTACATACTGCACAAGAAATTTCTCTTTTTTCCCTAATGGATCATTGTCTGTAAAATCCTTCTATATGTGTTATTGTTAAAGCTTATCTGAATGTTGGTATTTTGTCCATGTGAGCGAAGATTAACTTCTTTTTTCTTTTTACAGTAAGCTTGTAATCCTGAGACCAGTTGATGTCTTTGAAAGTCATCTCATCTGACCCTGTGGTATTTTATAATAATTTTAATGTTACAGTTTGAATTCTTGAATTCCAAGATCCTCCTGCTTCCAACAGACTTATCCAGTTTCTCACCTTTCACTGGCAAAGACTGGAATACCATATTCAGCAAATCTGTCTGTGCTGGTTGATGAACTGTATTTCCCTGCCAGCAACTGGGAGAAAAAGATTTTGAGGCATGTACTCTTCCGAATTCATTTTTCTGAGAAATGTCTGCAGTAGACTTTTTTTTATTTTGACCTTTGGGATGCAGAGAGGGTAAAATTGTCTTTTTACTCTTTTACGCTATTTTACTCTTCTATGTTGCAGTGTCACATAAGACTTTTGGATAGTAATTTGATGGGTAAATATTTTCTTAAAATAAGCCAGATCTTTTTATATCATCTAGGATATGCTTTCCTTTAAAAAGGAAGGAAAAAAAAAAAAAAGGCAGAACTGGTATTTACAGTTTTACAGTTCCTCCTGACAAGCTGTGGAGATTATTTGAAATCAGAAATGTTATTTACAGGCCTCAAAACTCACAATGCACATGACCATTTCCCAGTTGCTGAAGAATGACTTCTTTTAAATACAAAGGAAAAAAAAAACCCACTAACTTCTCCAAAATGTTTCCTAATGATCTGCAGCTAGACAAAATTTCTCAGCTCTGAGGCATACTAACTCTTCTCTGTATACAATAATTTGCTCTCCAGGGAAATGAGAAAAGTTTCTTAGGTTT